TATAATTTCAATCCAACAGATAGGCATAATACATGGCGATCAAAGGTGCGACTATTCTACAAATTCTTCCCGATGCCGTCCGTACCGATAGTTCCACTTTTTTCTTGATCGAAGGGATGAAACAGAACTGATGTAAAAGCTTATTTAATTTACAATTAAATTAATTTTTACATATCTCTTGATATAGTAACTTTCACAGTTCTGTAGTACTTTTGCAGTACCAGATGTTCTTCAACAGTAATTTCAATGGGATCTAGGCACTGGTTATTTAGTAAAGTTTACAAATATTAGTTTATGTAAATAGATTTTTCATTCAGTCGTTTAAATACTTGATATTCAGGGATTGCGCAACCACTATTAAACCCGAAGCAAGATCCAATTTGGTCTTCCATCTTATGGTTACAGCGAGCTAACCAGTAGGTAGGGTCAAGCCTGTTGCCGTCATCGTTCATTTCGTCTTTCAAATGACTAGCTTGGTTTTAGTTCCGGTACCAAGACTTTTCCGTTCGATTGATGTTAGTATTACCGAAACGTTGCCACAGTATGGCAATGAATTTGAAACGGCGACGTGAGTTTAAATAGCATACATGGTTGTGACAATTATTAATCATCCAGGAAAGGAAGTCATTCTGGACTGACCTTGCATGATTCCTCCTGCTTATGTATATTATTGTTATTGCTCTCTCTCCATTTCATTGTGATCACCGCTTCAACGATATGTCTTTATGGTATTTATTGTCAGTTGGCTACCTGGCGGTCGATGCCCCCTGTATGGCAGGCTGACTCAGTATGCGGTGTTCTTTGACAGCCGATCTACTCTTGTTTCGCTCTGCTGAAACAGACTATGAATTCACTTATCCGAAGGCTGAAAAAAACCGGATCAGCGAACATGTGGACTGGGTCAGCAGAGAAGATGAGAAAAAATCTGCCACTGTGGAACAGAGCAAGTTAAAGGAACCTGCATACACAGTTAGAATGCAAATAGTATCATCCGCAAGGAAGCCAGCTGGCGGAAAAAATGACCTTGGAAACAGTTACGGTGGTACGGATATGAAGCAAGACTTACAGACATGAAGAAACACGCTAGATCAGGCATGACTCCCTTTCTTACTAACTAGATTGTGAAGAACTGTATATTTCTTGAACTCGCAAGTGTCTCGTTACGAACTCATCACCTTATTATTGCAACCTTGGCTTTACACTCAAAACACTCAAAATGCATCATTACGATCGTTGCGAATGAGAAGGATTGGGCCAATCAAAACGTAATAAAAGTGTGTGTTAAAAATGACTGGGGAAAAAGAAAACAAGTCTTTTTCAATCCAAAATCCTTATTAATAATGAACTTTTGCCGTGCGCATGTCACCGAAAATGTGAAAGGGTTAATAGGCAAGTATTCAAAGTGGCAATTATTCTGGGTGGATTAACAAAAAGGACTCGGTCGCTTGATTTATTCGTTAATAAATTTTTTAAAGTCAAAGTTGCGTTCCAGGTGGAAGAAGTGGATGATGACTAGAACTAGACTATAGCAAATCGGAAAAGATTAAAAAGGGTGTCATATGAAGAAATGTGCAGATGGATCCTTGAAAGTTGGCAACATGTTACGGTATCTTGTGTAAAAAACGGGGTTTTGAAAGCATCAGGCGATGTACTAGATACTACGACGCCAGAAACAGATGAAAAAGGATTAATTTCAGAAAACGAACTAAGTGACGATGTACCTGAAGAAATTGTAAATGCTCTTGATTCATTTTATATTGATTGAGATGAAGAGTTTTATGGCTGAGTGACTTTACTGTAATACGTATGCACAATAAATGTTATTTTTCGCTCACGTTTTATATTTTATCTCATTTCGTTATATTAACCCTTATACTCACTCATATCGCAATATGTACATCGTTTCAGACCAATTTATTTTTACAAAACGCAGTCTGAAATTACCGTATACATAGGTAACTTGAAATAATTTGGAACATTTTTCGTTTTTCATTGCATATCGCGCAACGTTGATTTTTGTACGTTGATTGAACCTTTTTGTATTGATAATGCGCGATATCATTGGGAAAATACGGTATTTCATTTGCGATACAGTAATTGGAGCTTAGAAACAAAAGACTTGAAAAGGGTGAAAATATACCTCACATACAAACCTGAGACGTTGTGCTAATACAAACGGCTGCAAGTGAAGATCACTAGAAACAACAACAGCGATATCTTCATTATTACCTCAGACTGGATTTTTATTCTTTGCATAGAAACATGTGGCTAGTAGAATAATAGCACTGAAGCGTGTTTTAAATGAGAATTTTTCGCAGAGTAAACAAACTGGAACTGGCAGTATAAACTACAGTGGTGGCATCAACATTAATGGTGAGCAGCTCAGCTACCTAAGAATTGCTGATGACATGATGTTGTTTTCGGAAAACGCCCGTCAGCTACAAGACATGCTGCAAGAGCTCGAGAGAAAAAAGCAAAAGTTTCTGACTGCCAATGAATCGGTCACGATACTGGAATCGGATGCTCTGCCGAAGGGAAAGGTAATATTATAAACGAAAAGATGGATGAAGTCTATAGATTTAACTGGGCCAAATGATTAACATGCAAAATGAACAGGATATGAAAAAGAGAGTCAGCTAGTGCAGGTTCCATTCCGTCGAAGACATCCTCCTCTGCTACATGAAAAAACAATCGCACCCATCTCTTTAATTCTACTATCCTGCAGACGATGACGTACGGCTGGCTGTAAGACT